ACTTCGTTCAGTTAACTCACTTTTGAAGCATCACTGCTTCACATGCTGAATATTTACTTCCAGGGAGATGCTGGTGGTCCATTGGTCTGTGAAGATGGAAAGGCATACGGTGTGATATCCAGTGCAGTTACTCCACACTCAGGTGGCCCAGACATCATTAGATTCACTAAAATTCCTGAATCCACTGAAACACAGCATCATGTTTGTATTAGACCTGCTGATTAGTCAGTTAATGTGGAAGTTGCAGAAATGAGAACAATCTAAGAAGTACCACGTCTTAATGCAAAATTAAGAAAAAATCTATAATCTAAAATAAAACATTGATTCTCAGGTTTACTAACAATTAAATTAATAATCTCTTGCTGCATTACTTTTTTTGGATAGTTCTGGGGCTTTACAACTGATTTCATATCTGCAGACGTCTGAAATCTGAATTTTGTTCAGTGAATTTAATATTTTATGTCATTATTGTTCCGTCTTCATATGTTTTAAAGAGATTCTTCAATCTAATGAGAAAATAAGATCCTCTAATGTTGTTTTATCTCATATTGTCTAAAAATAAACCTTTCGTACCTGTTTATACATTTCTCTGTTCAGCATTAATTAGAATCATTTGTATAATGACTTCTTTGTGACTGTTTGTATTTACTTTTTCAATTTAAATTGAACAGAGTCTAAAGAATAATGGAAAATGTTCACTTTTTTATAACACACCATTAAAAAAAAAGACTCAGCAATAAGCCACGGATAACTTTGCATTCTTACATTTGTACTGCTTGTATTACTACAGTAATACTGAAGTATTTCTATTTTTATCTTAATTTTTTTTACTTATTCAATGTATCATATTTGGCAGGTCAAGTGTACAGCACTTTGTCTTCAGCTGGGAGTTGTTCTGAAAGTGCGATATAAATAAATTCCTTGCTTCAGTCACGTACTTTGCACAATCTGACTCTGTCATTTCTGATCATCTCTGTTGCGACTCAGATTCACACACACACACACACACACACACACACACACACACACACACACACACACACACACACATAGAGCCCCCAAAAATGTATAATAATCCAAAAGTAATAAAAATTGATGAAAAAGTCCATACAGGTTATGGAAATTCTGTACAGGCTGACAATTATGACTCCAGATGGACTAATGAGCACTTCTTTTTGTGCAAAGGCCCTAACCAATTCTGGACATCCAAACTAGGTCCACAATTCTGGACATCCAACCATGAGCCGACATAGACGTCATCTTTATTTCATCGCCTATTAAACTTCTAGTGTTGACATCATTAGGGCCTCCATGCACGGGCTATTTATAGTCCAAATATGGTCATTGTTCACGTCTTTTCAGAGTCAAACTCCAACTCATTATAGATGTTGATTTTATACTGCTTCTAGAGGCTCTGTAGTCCCGTGTTTCCAGAGGGTGGAGGACAGAAACAGATATGTGTGAAGGTGTGCAGAGTGCTCAGCAGGCTAACACATAATAAATCAGGTTTGTTTATAAATATCTGTATTCATATATATCATATTTATAAAAACAATGTTAATGTTAAAGGAAATTATTTAAATTAAGTGAATGTCTCTATTTAAAAACAAACAAACAAACAAAAAACTCATGATGTGATATTATAGTATATAGTATATCAGAAATCTGTTCACTATTTTTATTACAAATTATATCAGTAAGGAAGCTGACTAAATATTAACTGATAATTTATGGCAAAGGGGTGGGATTAAATAAGTGTTTACTTCTTCCCACTCCCTTTCAACATGTAAATTAATCAGAACGGGGGTTTTTGGGGGGTTTTTTGTATGTAATTTGTATAGTATTTTTTTCTCTCTTCTTTTCTTTTCTAAATGTACTTGTATATTGTTCACATGTTGAAATAAATTACCAATCAATCAATCAATCAATGTTTGTAAATAAACAAATGTATTAATCATGTACATTTCCTGCACCTGTCATAGATGTCCACATGACGTCCAAAAATATTACTCAGTCCAAAGTTCAAGTTTTGAGACCAACAGACTCAAGACAGACATGATCTGCACGTCTACCCGACGTCCAGTGTTTAGTGGGAATGTAATATTTTTACAAATATCTACAGAAAACCTGGTTTTCTGTAAAACTGCTGTGATAAACAGTGGATCAGTGTAACAAAGGCTTCCTGGTGTTATGCTCTTCAGTGCAGGGATGTTTGCAGAGGTGCTTCACTGAAGCTGGCTCGAGTACACTAGTGACATGCAAGAGAAGATAAGGAACCACAAAGAGAAATTATATCAGATGTCAGAGGTCGAGGGTTTATCGTAGTCAGCAGCAGCTGGGTGCACTCTCATCAAAAGGTTCCCATGCTCTCTTCGTGACAGTATAGCAAGTCAAAACTGTATCTGCTAAAAATGCTAAGTCTCATTGTTTTTTCTACATTGACATAAGCATTCTGAAATCAGCTGAGTTTGTTGCTTTTAGTAAAGATTTCAATATAATAACAACAAAATGATTAAAAGGCTTGTTCACTGTGTGACGTGGTTAACTGTCAATACGTTGGCTGAGCTGAGCACCATAAGTTATCTAAGTTATCTCTCTACACCACAGGAATGTTGAAGACAGACACTGGGCGAGTTAACATGTACAGACATTCTGTACTTAAGAAAAAGTACAGATACTAGTGTTAAAAAATACTACAGTAAAAGTAGAAGTACTTATTATACTTTATTTAAGTAAAAGTGAAAAAGTAAAGGCATAGAGGTTCTCGCTTTTCTCTTTTCTGACCTCTGCAAACGACATTGATCCTTGACACAGGTTTTCCCTTCTTTCTCCTGTCCTTTGCCTACTCTCTGCATTACTGCACGCTCTCTTCTCTGTTGGCCGTCAGCGGTAATGTCGACTCTCTCTCTCCTGTATTTGCGATTCTCAGTCTTATTGCTGTCTCTGCCTTATTGAAGATTTAAAATTCAAGAAGATTTCATTGTGATTTCTCAAAGTATCTACAGAAACACACAGGCTGAAACAAAATATTCTTGATTGATTATTGTATTCTGTAGTGTAATAATCAGTAAAAAAATAACAAAAAAATAAAAAAAGAAGAATACAGTAATAAAAACACTAAAATAAGTATAAATAACAATCAAACCGCAAATTGTCCGAGACACTCGGCAAACACAGGTGTAAACAATCACAGTCATTCAGCCAGCAGCAGTCCTCACAGTCACTGAGAGGGATTTACAGTAGATCAGCTAATTGTTATTATTAGATGTCCTGGCCTTCTGTGGCCTTGAAGCTTAATACAGGCTCTCCTTTTTTCTCCTGACCTTTGTTTATAATCATCATCATCATCCTGTGTATTTAAGTCCTGAGTTTCCTTCAGTTCATCGTCTTTGTCATTTTTGATTCTGTTTGTCTGTTTCCAGTTCAGTTCGGTCCCGTCACGTGCATCAAGATCTTCCTGAATTTCTTTGTACTTGTTTATGAGGTGTGATTTACTCTCAGTTTGTTTTTACATGTAAACTGTTTTTCTGGTCGCTATAGAGAAAGGTGCTCATGACAGCACACGTTAGTTGGAATCCCGCAAGAGTCAAAATATTATCAAAATAAATTAAGGCTTGAATTTGTCAGGTGGTGATGCTTTATTGAATCCTGGAATTTAAACTGAATTTAAATTCATTTTGACATTTTATTGTTTAAAATGAAATTTAATTTACCATAAAAACAATTTGGTGCAAACTCAATGGACTTAGGAGTGACGTTAATGAGTTCACAGGATCATATTTTTAGACATTTTTCATGTAAAATAGAAAGGCGATATTTACCTTCCTTAAGAATGTGGTTCAAAGCCACATCACTGAGCATGCGTATGCAAATGACACAAATATATAGGAAACATTTCAGGGTGAAAATGATCAGAGATTATTATTTCTCTTCAGTATCTCAGCTGAACTCTCGACTGTGATCGCACCATGATTATTTACTATAAACTGACATTACTGACACTGGTACTGAGCTTTCATCAACAAGGTAAAGATCTTTACATATTTTACGCACACATTTGTTTTTGTATGTATATACTTTATTTCACTTTTGTCTCAGGCCATGCGATCATTGGAGGTCACGAGGCTGTGCCTCACAGCAGACCTTACATGGTGCTTTTGCAGATGAACAGCGCTGCTGGTCATATAAGACACTGTGCTGGCTTCCTTCTCAATGAGGATTTTGTGATCACTGCTGCCCACTGCCAAGCCGAGTGAGTCTAACACACTGTTATGTTTTTTGGTTGTTTTTTTTACCTGTTTAGTGTTTAGGGGCCTCCTGTGGAATCTGTAATCTCAAGATTAAAGTCAAGTCACATATTGAGAGGAGGAAATCTGTTTTTATGCAGCTTCATGGTTATTAGATAAAATGACCCAAAAATATTTTATCTTGTGAACACAAGACCAAAAACTCATTATTTTTATCAAACAAATAATACACTTTTTTTTTTTTTTTTTAGGTCCTACAAAGTTTTTCTGGGACTTCATAATTATCATGATCAGAATGGTGTACAGCATGTTGATGTGCCTGGGAGAAATGCATTTCCAATGAAAGGCTACGATCCAGTTAATATTAAAAATGATATGATGTTTCTTAAGGTATGTATATATATAACAAATATGATTGTACTTTTGAAGTTCACCATATTGCTCTAATTTAGTCTTTTTTTCAGAATCTCCAAATTTTTTTCTCTTTTTTTTGGCTGTTGCTCTGTTCATTCAAGTTGTACTGAAATCCTGTACATACTGATTTTTATTTTACTTTTTTCCCTCTTCGATTTACTGAAATTGAGCCCAACTGAATACAGCACTAAAACAGACTGTAGTTAACAGTGCTAATATCTTTTGAAGGGTTTTCTCTCTCTCTTCCTTAAGTTGAGCACCAAGGCAAAGTTGAACGACAAAGTGAAACCCATCGCTCTTGCTGACCGTGATGATGGATCTCTGCCAAAAGCATGTGTCATTTCTGGTTGGGGAAGCACAGAAAACAGCAAATATATGTCTGTCAAACTCCTGGAAGTAAATGTGACCCTGACTGACAATGAGCTGTGTGCTAACAGAAACATGTACTGCTCTGAGGGTGAGAGAGAACCTGGTCAGGTAAGTGTATTTTTGTACACTAACATCGAGAAAAAAACTTTGGTCAACAACGGAAATTCTCTTCCAAAGCAATCACTAAATACTGTGTAAATACTGAATACTTCCAGGGAGACGCTGGTGGTCCATTAGTCTGTGAAGATGGAAAGGCATACGGGGTGATATCCGCCGGCACACCAAACCCAGATGGCTCAACAATTCAGGGTTATACTAAGATACCTGACCACAGAGACTCCATCAAAGAACATAAGGGAAAGTTACATTCTCCGACAACCGATACAGTAACCATCATTCCTGTTTCTAAGGAACATCATATTTGTGTTAGAGATGCTGATTAGTCTAATAATACATGGTAATTAACAGAAATTAAATCAGCTGTTCTGATGAACAGAACATTTGATAGTTTGTCAGATATGTGATTTTCCACAGATTACAGAAAAGGGAATATTTTTGGTTTTAGACGGCTGGAGAACATTACAGAGGCTTTGGTTCCAAGCATTTTTTTGTCATTGTTTATTAAGTTAAACACAAAACAAAGGTCAACTGATCAGGAAACTAACTGTCAACAATGAAAATAATAATCGCTGGAATCCTTCAATCTTCAAACAACATGAGGTGCATTTAAAAATCAACATGGACTCAACTGTGGTCATCAAATTGTGTAATGTATGTGTCCTTTTACTTAAAAAGAAAAAAACAGCTCAAACAGCGAGAGAAACCTTCCGGTGATAAACTGCAGATTCACATCAGACAGAGGAAATGGTGACAGTAATCTGCACTTCCTGATTATTACAAAAATAATGAGAGACGCAAGAACATTTCCACATGTGTGACTAAACCAGATACACGAAACTGAGAAACAAACTGGACTTTAAATGATTCATTTACTGAAAAGGGTAATTAAATAATTATAATGGGTAAAAACTTGGATTAAAAATCTCCAAAATTAGAGGCTTATGTGGCCATAGAAAGGCGATGCATAAAATAATAGAAAGCACATGAATGAGTACAGAAAACCCTTTCACTCGGTAGTTGGTGTAGATTTACAACAAAAATATGTTTTACCACATGTGCATTAAAATTTAATGTCATAACATTTATCTTTTCACTTAAACAGTGGCTGTCCTGCAATAGTTGAACAAACAGTAACGGCTTTTCTCTGCAACTTAAACCTCTATAAGACAAACACATTAGTGTCTTTATTAAAAATAATTTTTACATTTAAATTTAAAATTAATTGACAAGACAAATATATTCAGAAATTTAAATCAATGTATAAAGGTATGGTTTTCATGCAGTCCAATGTAATAAATTCTCATGGTTATACAACATTTGGAAGCAGCTGCACAATTACATGACTGAGCTATAAATATGTGAAGGCGGTGGTAACACGTGTGTTACTTCTTCCCACTGCTTTTTGAACACTGGTTGTACTACAGGACAGTATTTTCCTTTTCGTATATATGCTCTATTTTGTATGTATGTACGTGTATGCTTGAAATAAATGATCTATCAATCAATCGCCTCTGTTAATAAACATGGTGAGCTTCATGCAAGCACAGCTTAATGGATGGTGGCCAGAAACACTGAGACTGTGCAGTGAATTAAAACTTGATTGCATCTGCTTGTTCACCCCAGACTGAGACAAAGCAGGGAAAGAAAGACTGAAGTCAGGTTTGTGTTTTATATAGATTTTACAGACCAGCACAATAAAGAATGTATACAGCAGTTTGTATAAAAGGTAGGATCTCCTCTGGAGTGCAGTCACCCATCTGCACACGGACTATAATACCATCTCATGTGGAGGATAAATTTGGTCTGTTTATCTATTTTTGAAGAAAGATGTAGTAACTTATTAATAACTTGCGCTGTTGTAGGTTTCCACTTGCTTTTATATTTGATTTTATACATCAGCTTTTTTAATGATCTGTACATGGCAGGCCACGAATCAAAGCAAACAGGCTGTATCCCAATTCAGAGCCCTGAGTACTTCTCTCACACTGAAAACACTTGAATGATAAAATTATGGGAACATTACCTAATAAGATTGATTCAGGACAGACAGTTAGTTTAAACTTTTCTAGCAGTCCTTCACAAACAGGGAACAGTCTGTCTATTCTCTTCATCTGTCAGCTGCTGCGGGCTCTTCCTCCTCCTCTTCCTCACACACTGCTGAGTTTGTGGTGGATCATCAGGGGTGCAAAGCCTCACAGATGATGAGCAGCAGTGGGTCCCTCAGTCTGTCCTCACTCTGGACACTTGCAGTTGTCACACATGGAAATCAAATGTGTGATAAGCTGCAGGATTCAAACACAAGTGTAACTTTTAAATACATGTTCATACTTTTATTACACAATCAGAGAGAAAGAAACAGAGAGAGTGCAGGACAGACAGACAGGTGACAGTCTCAGGTGTATACACTGCTACAAAACAGCACCAGAGAAGGAGGATTTAGTCAATACGCCGTCATTCAAACAAAGGTAAGTCAGCTTGAGTACTGCAAGTAAAATGCATTTAATTTCCCCCGTATTTTCAGATTAGTGCAAGCATCAATTCATTAATGAGGGGGAAATTACAGTGAGAACATGTGGAGGCTCTGTTAGATGGATAACATAGTGAGTTCAGTGCATTGATGTGACATTGTCCTGAAGCATTTAGTCATTCTCTATGGTTAAAGAAATTGCAATCATTAATTCATATTTATTATAAATAATCCTAATTATACATCTTGCTTCCGTGTTTATGTCCTGTGTCACTAAAATACATTCTTTTTTTGTTTTATACATTGATTAATGACCTGCAGAATCTCCTTATCATATTAAGTGATTCATATTTGTCACTTAAAGTCGAACTTTATGCTTTCTCCCTCTTGAAAGTGATTACATCCTTGCATTACATAATTTAGGTTCATTTTTTGCTGGCAGATTAAAAAAAACAAAAACAAAACAGGCAGATTTAGAATATAACATGCAACATTCTATAGATGGATACTGTTAATAGGAAAATTGTACTTAGTAGTCAGTATAATCTTTTAATGATATAAGTTTGCATATGGTAGAATGCTGCATGTAATTATTTGTGTGTAGAAGTATATGGTTGGTGGCATATTGAAAGAATGTCTCATCCTAGGAGGTCTGTAACATTCTAGGGTGTTCACCCCCACATCCTAGGAGCATGGGAGAGGTCGTACCTAGTCTTATTGTTTTACGGTAGGATTAACGTAGCTATATCTGTTTTAGTCTAAGTGCCTTTTGGTTTGATGAACTGCTGGACTTCGAGACCAGCAGGTTTAGGGAAGTCTTTATGGGGTCACACTCT